ATGATTAGGTGGATGAGTGGCTTTACACTTAGAGACAAAATGCAAAATGAATATATTCGTGATAGGGTTGGTGTAGCTCCTGTGATAGACAAAATTAGAGAAAGTCGTCTTAGATGGTTTGGTCATATTAAACGTCGACCATTAGATGATCCGATTAGGAGAGTAGATGTTTTAAATTCGACTTGTGTTAAGAAAGGTAGAGGTAGACCTAGGAAGTCTTGGGCTTATTGTATTAAAAATGATCTTAATTTACTAGAACTAAATGAAAATATGACACTAAATAGGACGCAATGGAGAAAAAGGATTCATGTAGCCGACCCCACGTAGTGGGATTAAGGCTTTGTTGTTGTTGATGTTGTTGTTGTTGTTCCTCTTATTTTCTTCTTATTCTTTATCTTCTTTTTCTTTCAATGGTTTGGGTTTCTCCAACTAAGAAGGCTTATCTTCTTGTTGGCATGCTCACTGCACCTTTTAGGGTGTTGAACCCAGATCTGTCATTTGGCTCGTGCCCAAGTAATAGAGCGTGCAATCGAAGGAAAGGAGAAAGAGATTGAGATAAGAGAGAGAGTTGCCTCGTGGGGGCAAAGAGGGGTCTTCCCTGTCTCTTTGGCCCCTTTTATTTCACACAACTAGAAGGTTACAAATGGGAAGAAAGGAGGAGTTACCTATTACATTGGGGTTGAAAGAGAGAGCCTCCGGGGCCCTTTACACATGCCAATGGTCCTCTATTTATAGAAGAGGACAATTTGAAAAACTAATATGACAACAATGTTCTTGCTTGAAGGAGGACAGTACAGGTTATTTTGATCCTTTGGTCATTCTAGAGTGTTGGAGTACATCGACGTTGGGTGGCCGACTACTTGGGGTGGTCGGCCAAGGCGACCGACTCGAGGAGGCCGATTTGAAAGGCTGGTGGCCGACCCGAGGAGGCCGACTAGAGAAGCCTGTGGCCTACCTCAGAGAGCTGACAAGCTTGAGTTAGGTGGTCGACCTGAGGAGGCTGACCCGAGGAGCTAGTGGCCGACCCGAGGGGGAAGGCCAGCTGGAGCAGGGTGGTCGACTTGAGGAGCTGGTAGCCAACCTGAGGTGCAGGCTAGCTAGAGCAGGAGCTGGTAGCCGACTTGAGGTGCGGGCCAGCTGGAGTAGGGTGGCCGACCCAAGGAGAAGCTGGTGGCCGACTTGAGGTGCAGAACAACTAGAGCAGGGTGGCCGACCTGATGAGTTGGCTGCTGCCCGAGGGGACCGGCTTGCTGGAGCAAGGTGGCCGGCCCAAGGAGGCTAACTAATTGGGGGTGGCCGACCAAAAGGGGGAATCTCTGCTAAGCGACTCCGATGACGGCTTATCCCGATTCGACAAGGTGGCATTTTTTGGCTATGCAGTGTGTAAATGCCACTAAAATTGTTACAAATCCCTCATCATGTTAGATATATAAATATATAAGTATGGGTGGTATGTATGTAAATGTCCATAAAAATTTTGGTTCCGCCCCCGTGGACAATGTAAATACATATGGGTGGTATGTATGTAAATGACCCTAAAAATTTTCTACTTTTTTCCATGCCTTGTTGCCCAATTGCCTATCCCGCGGTTTCGCTTCTGCCTAACTTTCAGTTTTTCCCCTCCCCCGTTTTTCATTTAATCCCACATCAACAAATATTCTTTTTTTAGTGGGGTTTTTAAACATTAAAATGACTTGAAAAAGTGCATCCACGCGTGAAAGCAGACTATTGATTTGATCAAACTGAACACAAGCTAATTTCGAACCTATCAAGCAGAACAAAGACATCTTATTCACAAGCTATTTTGAACACGAGCCTATTTCAATTCAAAAATAATTGAATGAATCGAATACGAACAAACTTTAAGCTTTCTCAAATTTGGCTCGTTTACACCCCTACTAATAAATCATTTTTAAACTCGTGATATTTAAACTTCTTGAGATCTTTATGAAGTCCTTTTTGTTTTCTTTTGTTGATCAATTTGACTCCCACAACATGACAAATTTCTCACATTTGCATTAAAAATTATAGATTTGTAAATTTTCTATAGATTTATATAAAAATATTTTATACATATTTTTTAAATTAAATTTATTTAATAATTTTCGAAAAAGATAAACTAATGAAGAGAACGCTCCAAAAAGGAAACAATATTTTTTCTATGGCTTTTGTCATATAGGTTAAGCAGAAATGCCAATATCAATTATAAAGAGTGACTTAGATGCATGATTGAATTAATACTCCACTAGATGCTCTATGAGACATATCTCATTCAATAAAATTTGTTATTAGCCCCTACATCATGAGATTTCTTACTTATCTAAATAACTAGCTATATACTAAGGTTCCACTAGTGAAATTACTTGTTATTCTTGGGTTCAATGATATGTGTGGGTTTACCCAATCTTGCTATAGTGTGTGGGAGGAATTTGCTCAAGAAGCAAACTTGAAAGCATCGACTCTAGCGAATACTGCATGAAATAAATGTTTTTTTGCTCCAACGATGGAGAGTCTTCAATCTCTCCATCTCAGACTTTCAATTCATATCTGTTTGGTTTTTTAAATTTTATTCTTCGTGATTTTGTAATGTAATGAATGTATGATTTCAATAGATTTCTTGTTTTGCAAATATGTTGTTTCATGTTAAGGCATTATAAATTTTCATGTTCATTATATATATATGGTTGTTGCTAAATGTTACCAAATTTTCGCTTTCTAAATCAGCCAAAAATTTCAGGATTTTCAAGCGCCAGTGTTTGCAAGAGAAAGGGCCGAACCAAAGAATGTTGCTTCCATCATATTGGGAGGCGGAACTGGAGCAGAGCTCTTTCCCCTTACCAGCACAAGAGCTACAGCAGCTGTAAGAAATTGTTTCATTTGTCCTAGGATGCAATTTTTTTATTTTTTATTTTTTGGGTGATTGTAGTATCTTAAGAGAGCCTTGAGAAAGAATAAATACATAAAGATATGCTTATATGTCGGTTTTTTTTTTTTTTTTTTTTTTTTTCACGAGCATTTCTATCAAATAAATGACTTATCTTTCCGTTGGAGGGTATTGCACAAATTTCACCATTAATGCTATAAAGCAGAAGTAGCTGTATAAAATGGCGTTCTCATGAATCATTCTTTAATTTTACCTACAAAAAAGCTTCTACTAAAAACTGATATTAGATTTTATTGATTTGTTCAAGCTGCATACAATTATAATTATTTTTGTAAAAAAGTAACTTTCTTCTCGGAGTTGACCTTTGTGTTCTTCATTAGAAATAAATCACAGAATAACAGCTATGAGAATGCAGTAAATGCTCTTGCATATTTTTTTTCATCCAAATAGGTAGAATAAAGTGTTTAACTGCAAACTTCTACAATTTTACCCCAATACCATACCACATTCCTTAACAAAAATACCCCGCGCATTACGGTTGTTCATCATAATAAATTCCACATACTATTCTATGATTCTTTTGACACGTTGTGCTAAAATGTTTAAGTAATTTCCTATTAAAATTTGACATAATCAAAAACTTAAAATCCTTAAAATGCATATGAAATGGTTTTCTTTTTGCCGCTCAGGTCCCCGTTGGAGGATGCTACAGACTTATTGATATTCCAATGAGCAACTGTATAAACAGTGGCATAAACAAGATCTTCATTATGACCCAGTTTAACTCTGCTTCTCTTAATCGACATATTGCTCGTACTTACAATTTCAGCAACGGAATCAACTTCGGAGATGGATTTGTTGAGGTATGATTTTCATTTACTTGCCAATGATTCACTGCTTGTTCCATTCTCTCCCAAATTATTCAATAATTCAAGTTGCACCCTTTAGTGCACTGGTAAAATATTGATCAAGGACAGTGAATTTCAATGATTTTATAAGTTTGATGAAAAATAAATTCTTTCTTTAAGAATTTAAATTTAATGATCTTAATCAAACAAACTTATTTATTTTGGGTATTTTTTTAATGGAAATAGTGAGCATTAATATTTGGTTTCCAAATTAAATTTAGGACACTAAATAAATATTCAGTTTGAATTTTTTTTAAATACCCATGAGTTTTGATAACTTTTCTTGAGAATTGATTATAAATCTCTTCCTGATTAACACACTACAATTTTATTTTTGCTAATACGGTTTTTTTTTTTTTTTTGTGTCCTAATAAACAGGTTCTAGCAGCTACACAATCACCTGGAGAAGCTGGAATGAACTGGTTCCAAGGAACAGCTGATGCCGTGAGACAATTTAGCTGGGTCTTTGAGGTTATTTCTGTTTAAACAAATGAAAATTCTGTGAATTTTGGTGTTTCATTTATTCAAAACAAGAGATAATTGATCATCTGCTTATTTTGTTATTTGTATTTGAACGTATACGCAGGATAACAGGAATAAGAACATTGAGCACATTATTATTTTGTCTGGTGATCACCTCTATCGCATGGACTACATGGACTTTGTGCAGGTTTAGTCCGTAGTTCATTCATCATTTAATGCACCAATTGCATATTTTCAATATCGGTTGTGTACCTTAGCACAATATTGCATGATATTGGCTGCAGAAGCATATTGATGCAGGAGCTGATATCACTGTTTCTTGTGTTCCTGTGGATGAAAGGTTTGTCTAATTTTATATAGCTGTTTTAATGTCCTTTAAGTCCATGGAAATTCGCATTTTAAGGTTTATCCTGTTTATACAACGCTTATTTTAGGATGCAAAGTTTGTCATCCTTGTGGGGAACCCATTTGAAGTTGGCCGTTGTTCTATTTATGTCTAATTGGATTTGTGCTCCTTTCAAATCATGAAATATTTGTGATTAATTTTTTTCCTTACAAAAATTTTTTATAATGAGTTTTTGTTATTTACATATATTTTTTGTATTATGTAAGTCTGGAATTTGTACAAAATAAATTTGCTCTTATTTTGGTTTGAAGCAATTTTTATAATTTTCCATGAAATTAAACAAATAATAGCTTTTCAACATTTATTCTTAGCTCATGCTTAACTAACAAATAACCAGAGTTTTGTCAACCAAAGCTTGGTAATCTAATTTTTCATCTCTCATTTTCAAGTGTTATAGATAATTTCTAATGCATAGAACTTAGTATGAATGTTATGCTGAGTTATAGATCAACGAAGTTGGCTAACCTTTTCCAAATTCATGGTTTAACAATTTTAATCAATTTATTTTATTTTCCATTTTCTATTTTGCCTTTTTTTTTCTAATTTAAATGCTACAATATACTCTAACATCACTTTCTCTTATACTTGAAAGCCGGGCATCTGACTATGGCTTAATTAAGCTCGATAAAATGGGTCACATCGTCCAGTTCTCTGAGAAACCTAAGGGCGCAGACTTAGAGTGTATGGTAAGAACCTGTTCGTATCATATCATTTTTGCTAGCTTAGTCTAAATTCAATATTTCAACATCTTGCACCATATGAAAAAAATCTCTAATGAAAATCTAATGGGTGGTAGCAGAAAGCTGACACAACAGTTTTCAGGCTCTCTCAAAAAGAAGCCATGAAATACCCTTATATTGCTTCGATGGGTATCTATGTTTTCCGAAGAGATGTTCTCTTCAAGCTACTCAAGTATGTTTAACATTTGAAGGTTAATAAATTTCTTAGGAACTCTATTGAGTTAAAGAAAGTTCCTCATATATGGATTTCCTTAATGATTGTTTCAGATGGAGGTTTCCAAAATCAAATGATTTTGGTTCCGAGATTCTTCCTTCAGCTTTACTAGAGCATAATGTTCAGGTGAGAATTATTTCAACTCTCATTTTTCCATCTGCTTCTTAGTGTATGACAATGTGTCCATTTATCTATAAGTCAATATACCGAATATGGATGGAAGAGTTTCTTTCATTTCCCAATCTCTTGAAACTCTATGAAAATTGCTAGTCTCTAAAGGGAAAAAGCTGCAATTGGTGTAACCTGCAATGAAGCTAGAATGTCTAAATTAAAGTATAATCACACTCGAGAGTGGTGTGAGATAATAATGTGGAAATGAAAAATGAAAGTAAGAAAGAGGAGTATTTTATGCAAAAACAATGCGGAAACAAAGAAATTCACACCACAACAATCAATCACAAACGATATACGTGGTTCGATGTTGAGTTGATTCGCCTTCGTCCATTGGGAGGGAGATTTTACTAGCACTGAATGGGGAGAAAAAAAATGGTTTGGGGTTACAACTTTTGCACTTCTGATCATACCTTTCTCATGAACCCTAAGTCCCTTTTATAAAAGAGGATTAGGAAACACAAGTAAATAAAATCAAAAAACTAAATTATTCTTAATTATGAATAGTCATAAATACAACAATCTCCAACTCATCTCTTACTTCCATATACGTGAGAGATGATCAAATAAGCTTTAAACTGTAATTCAACTGCACCAAGATGATTGCCTACAACCAGCCTTCTCGAAAAGATCAAGCCTCACGTAGTTCTTTAAAATGCCCAACTAGACAATCAGTCATGAGCTCAGATGTTCACCAAACTCCTGCAGCAGGTGAACTTCTAGACTGATATCAGCTTGAGCTTGTTCGTTTTATTCTCCTTCATATATATCTTTTTCAATAGAATCTTGTCATCATCAATCAAGTTCCGAACACAATTGTACCTCACATCGATTTGCTTGTTACGAGTATGATAAATTGGATTTGTGGCTAAGAATATTGCATTTCGACTATTACAAAACACCATCAGAGACTCGTGTTCAACTCTCAAGTCATTAAATAAGCCATGCATTCATATTGTTTCCTTCATTGCCTCTGTGACTGTCATATACTCAGCCTCCGTAGTAGACAAAACAACAGCAAACTAAAGAATCGATCTCCAACTGACTAGGCCTTCTGTCAATCTGAATAAATAGTCAGTAGTAGATCTTCATCTATCATATCACTTGCATAGTTTGAGTCAGTGTAGCATATACACAAATCTATAATAGATGACTATTTCTCAAATACCAAGCCAACATCAACTATACCTTTCAGATACCCCTTAGAATACTCTTCATGGTCTATCAATATTTCTTTCTTGGATCATTTATGAACCTGTTCACAACACCATCTGCTTGTGCAATATCTCGTTTAGAACAAACCATAATATATATCAGACTACCCACTATACTAGCTTAAAGAATCGTTTACATATATTTTCTTTTATGATCTTTTTTAGGATTTTGATCTTAACTCAACTAAAATGAGATGCAAGTGGTAGACTCACTGCCTTGCTCGTGTCATCAATCCCAATTTTCTTTAGCACTTTCCGAACATAAGCTCATTACGAAAGCCAAACATTTCCAACTGTCTTGTCCCTGAGAATCTCAATGTTAAGAATTTTGCGAGTTTCACCCAACTATTTTATTTCAAAATGTTTGGACGGTTGATTCTTTATCCTATCAATCTCAATCTGAATAGCATATGTAATTAAGATATTATTAATATATAGAAGCAAGTAAATGAACTAATTGTTGACCAACTTCTTGATATTTGCATAATGATCATACTGGCTCCCGTGGATTCCTACCCTCATAAACTGATCAAATTTGTTTATACCACTATTATGGTGACTGCTTCAATTAATACAAAGACTTGTCCAGTTTGCAAACTAAGCCTTTTAGTGCTCCATATCCAGTTGGCTGCAACATATAAATCTCCTTTGGTAATTCTCTTTTTAGGAATGCACTCTTCACATCGAGCTGTCCTAAGATTGGACTGTACTTTGCTACAAGTGTTAAGAGATCACTGATTGAGGGATGCATGACCACTGAGGAGAACACCTCATTATAATCAATCTCTTCTCATTGCACAAAGTTTTTTGACACTAATCTTGTCATGTACTACACATTAGCTCCATGAGATCCTTCCCCATACACCCATTTGCACCCGATTGCTTTCATTCCTGGAGGAAGCTTTACAAACCTGCAAGTTTCATTCTTTTAAAAAGACTTTTTCTCTTCATCCATTGCCTCTTTCCAAAAATCACAGTGTGAGCTCTCCATCATTTATTTGTAATGATAAGGAATTTCCATCTTTGTAGCTGAAAGTGTAAATGCAATATGATCTCTCAAACAAGCTAGTTTTGGGACATTCTGATACTTGGTCTTACTCCTAGTAATAGATTTTTGAGGAGTCTCATCTTCAACATCTTCTTCCACCTTCTTTTGAGCACTATTAATAGATACCTCCTGAGCTGCAACTTGATCAGGTATCTGAGTCGGAGTGAGCGAACTCTGTGAAACAAATGGGGTTGCGTCAAACTCCAACTTCTGCTATATATAGGTAATCCTAGTAGAATTCTCTATCTACTTTGAGTCCCGATTTTACAACAAGCTTACCTCATCGAATGTAACATCCCTGCTAATAAAAACCTTTCTTTCTGACTGATCATACAACATGAAGCCCTTGTCACCATGCTTAAAGCCAATGAAGATTGTATTCTTTGTTTGTGGTTCTACTTTATTATTCTGCACATGCTAGTAAGCTGGACACCCAAACACTCTTATGTGTTCATAATCTTTAGCAGGATGTCCTGACCAAATTTCGTTTAAGGTCTTCTTCCTAATGGCTACCTTGTTTTGCTATGGTGTCTCTCAAACAGTGAAGTGATGTTCTATCCCAACTCTCTAACTCTATTGTAAGTATGCATCCGAAGTGTATTCGCCTCTGTTGTCTGATCTGATACACCATATCTTTTTACTAGTCTGAGTCTCAATCCACTTCTTTCAAGCAATGAAAATCTTCGGCACCTCACTTTTGCGCTTTATTGTGTACAACCAAACATATCTGGAGTAATCATCAATAAAAGAGAAAGTATATATGCTTGCTAAATGATATTATCTTCGTTGAACCCTAAACATCTGTGTGAACATATTCAAAAATACCTTTTTTTATTGTGAATGACATTAACAAAAGATACACATATCTTCTTGTCAAATACACAATGTTCATAGAAATCAAGCTTGTTGACGCTCGCTCCTTTGATCAGTTTTTATTTTATGAAAGATTGAAGTGAAGCCTCTCTACTATAAGCTAGTCGTAAATGCCACAACATAGTAACGTCAAAAGAATCAACAACAACATCAACCATTCTAGTCACTGTACTACTCTAAAGATAGTAAAGATTGTGAATGAGAACTCCCTTGATAAAATCTATTGTCCCACTATATATCCTCAGAAATCATGCATCAATAAATACCTTGTAGCAATTAGACGCTAAAGCCCCAACTGATAATAAATTTTTCTTGTTATCTGGAATATGCTTAGCATCGGTCAGCTCCCTTACAGTATTATCATGCATCTTAATCAAGATACTCCCTACATCGATGGTACGACAAGCTTGATTAAGATGCATGTTCGTTGTACGTTGGTCATATTCACTGCACCGCTATCCAGCTCCTTGTACGTACAGAAACACCCTCAATGAGGACAAATGTGATAGGTAGCACCTGTGTCCAGAATCTAGCATGAATTATCTATAAATAAACTGTGAGAAACTACAGATAATGATATATCTGAATCTACCTCTTCACATCTTTTCATAATAGTATTAACTTTCGCCTCAGATACAACTTTCTTTCCAATCTTATTCAGCTTCAGACTGTGTTTCTTCCAATGATCAGTCTCTAAATAGAAAACACACTGATTTTTCCCAAGACTACGCCCATGAGACTTGCTCCGCTTTTGGGCAGTGTCATCGATGTCACATTTCTTTGTGTAATTCCTCTTCTTCTCAGATTTGCCACATTTGAATGTAAGTGTCTCACCTGACTCCATCTTTGCGGAGTCATTGTCTCTTCGACGGAACTCATGATTTAACAGCGTTGTAGTCACTATGCTATGATTCAAGACCTCATTCCCATGAATGGGTGTCATCGTGAAGTTTTTGTATTCATCTGGGAGTGAATTCAATATGAGTGTCTTCTTTTTATCTTCAATATCCTCATCCAAATTTAACAAATCTGCTAACAACTTTGTGAAGTAATTCAAGTGCTCATCATTAGAACGCCCAATCTCATTTAAAATCTATAGAGTCGATGTTTCATATGAACACGATTTTTCACACTCTTTGTGAGATATTTGTTCTTTAACATTCTCCATAATTTCCTTGCATAAGTCATTATCATCACCCCATATTTGATCTCTTGGGTCAATCAATTTTTGATCAAGTCACAAGCACTTTGATTTTTCTTCAATCAATCTTTCTCTGACATCTGATCAGGATATTTCTCACTATCCAAAATTTCTTTCAGATTCAAAGAACACAGTATATCCATCATCTCACATTGCCACATGTTAAAGTTTTGTTTTGCCGTCGAATTTCATCACATCAATTTTGGTGAGATACGTTACCACATAATAAATCAAATTGTTCACCGTCAAAGCAGACATTGAAAAACCTGACATCGTATTATTATTCATTGCTCTCACTGTCTGAAAAAATATTTCTTTAGCAGGATAAAATATTTACTGGGATATTCTTTCCCATATTTTGGGAACCTGAAAAGAAAACAAAAAACAAACAAAAAAGTTCACTTGAGAAAAGAAAGTGAAAATAAAGTTTTCTTTTATTCTTGTTTCCTCTTTATTCTGAAAATTTTTTTATTCTCTATTATTTTTCTCCTGAAATTTCCTTAAAAAAAATTCGACGAGATTTCCTTGATTCCCAAAATTTCCTCCCTTGAAGAAAACTTTCTTTTTTTCTTCTTTCTGCCTTTACTTAAAATTCCACTGTTGAGATGGTTGCACTTTTTTTCTTTTCTAAAGTTCTTTTTAAAAAAATTTTTTTCCCCCTTTTTCAAAACTGAATTTTCCTTTTAAAAAATTCCTTTTCTTTTTCTTTCAAACTTCCTTTCCAGAATCTTTTTGTTCCATGCAAAGCTATCTCCTGGCCGCGCTTGTTCCGAACGAACTTCCACCAAAATTTGCTAGGGACTGCTGCCTGCCGCTAGTACGCTGCTAAAGCAGCCACCAAAACAAAGACTCATCGGCCGTTTTTCTTGAGCCGCACCCCTGCCTGCTTACCAGATCTACACGTCCAAGTCGCCGGCCTGTTAATTGTCTGCCATGGAACCTCCGAATCTACCGACAAAACACGTCGGACTATTTGCTATAAAAACTTCTGGCAACGCTCGCTAGATTTGTTGTTGTCGAAGCCGAACCATACTCCGATCATAAACCTAAAGTTTCGATATCAATTGTTATGCGAAAATAATGCGGAAATGAAGAAATTCACACAACAACAATCAAACAAAATCGATTTACGTGGTTAGGCGTCGGGTTGATTGGTCTATCGGCTATGGAGAGGGAGATTTCACTTGCGCCAGATCGGGAGAAATAAAAATGACTGGATATTACAACTCTGCACTTCTAACCATATCTCTGTCATGAACCGTAAGTCCCTTTTATAGAGGAGAATTATGTCATACAAGTAAATAAAACCAAAAGATCAAATTACCTCTAATTAAAAAAAGTCATAAATAAAACAGAGAAAAATGGTGGGAGCAAACCACACTAAAAACATCATGTTTTGTAATCGGTTCCGAATTCAGCATTCAAGCCCCTTCTTAGGGATTTCGTTAGTCGCCTTCACCAATCATGAAAGAACTAGGTAATTCTTCTCTTCCATCAATAGAGGCAGTAACAATCTTTTTCTAAGCTTCAGGATAACACTTAACACACGGTATTTTTGGTTGTTTCAAGAACCCTCAAAAACTTTTAAATTGTATCATCTACAACCCGACGAGATTATAATAACACAAGCCAGAATACTAGCAAATATATCAATAATCAAATAATGAACAAAAAGGTAGTAGATGTGTTGACGACATATGGTTACTCTACTGATTAAAACGACATGACGGTGTCAACAACTCTTAGTACATTTTATCACCTATTTGTTCAGAGAGTTCCACTTAATCCCTCATTTTTTGGTTAGTTTTTTAGCCCACACAGTGTACTGTACAATGTTTTAATTTTAAGTTTTATCATCAAGTTGATTAGATCTTGAATGATCATTTATTTTCAGGCATATATGTTTAATGATTACTGGGAGGATATTGGAAAGTTGAAGTCCTTTTTTGATGCAAATTTGGCCCTCACCGAGCAGGTTCATTTAGTTTTTCGAGTATTTTATTATGAATTACGTTTCATGCAGTGAAATATTTTAAATTTAGAGTATTTTATTTAGACAAACTTGTGCATGTTACATTTGTGTAAATCTTTATTCATTCTTCACTACTGTACCTGCAGCCTCCAAAATTCCACTTTTATGATCCAAAAACACCCTTCTATACATCACCACGATTTTTACCTCCGACTAAAGTGGATAAGAGCAGGGTATGCTTTCTTGTTTCTCTAATGAACGTTATTTATTTGTTTTTGCGTTTTTGTTAGCTCACTTCATTAATTGAATCTGCAGATTGTTGATGCAATTGTATCACATGGCTGCTTTCTGCGTGAATGCAGTGTTCAGCATTCTATAGTAGGCGTTCGTTCGAGACTGGATTATGGTGTAGAACTGAAGGTAGTATCCTATGATATTTTGCATTCTTCTTCATGTTTCATGTTACGATTGCAAAACTTAGCTTGCATATATCATAGGTGTTTTCTTAAGCACTGGAAGTACTCATTGACTTTGTATGGATCAATTTGCTATGAATTCTGTTCATCATTTTCCTTCCTGTGTAACAGCCCAAACTCTCACCTCTCGAGATGTTGCCCGCTTTGGCCTAGTAGCCTAACGGTTTTGTCCCGTCGGGGTAATTGCTTAGGAAGTCCCCCATCTCAAAAGTGCTCTCGGACAAGCACGCTTAAATTTGGAGTTTCGAATGAAATTCCAACCATTACACCAAAATGCGCCTCAATGTTTAAGAATTCTTATTTCTCGATAGTTCCCATTTAGTCAATATATGTGCAAGATTCTGAGCTGTGTATATCTACTCCAAGAATAACTACTCATCTTCTAGGAGAGAGTGAATAAGGTGATACCTTAATTAAATATGCTTTGTCCTGGCATAAAAAACAATATTCTTAACAAGCTGGATATCACTCATACTGTCACTTTGAAGCTTTTCATTCCTGTACTCCTTGCCCAATTATTCCATAAAGCTTTGTAGTCAAATCATCTCCTTAGCCAAACTAATAGCAATGTATTTGGCTTTCGTAGTTGAAAATGCAACAATATTTTGCAGCCTGAAAACCTAACACACAATTGTGTTCCCCACAGTGAAGTTGTACTCTGTTGTACTTCTACCATCCAAATCTCCTACCAGATCTGAATCTACAAATCCATTTAGAATGATCACTGCACTTTGTCGGCACAAAAAAGAGAAAGAAAAAAATTGTTTGGGGGGTTGCCCGTAAGAAGCTGTCGGCAGCCGAAATCGAAATCCCGTCGCCCGCTTCGGAAGGACTTTTTAATTTACGTATATATATATATATATAATTTTAGAAAAATATGAAATTAAACTGACCTCATATTTTTCACAGTTTAAATGAAAGAGCGCTCTACCTCAAATCCTATATCTACCCCGAGGGATAAACACAAGATTTGAGGATGAAGCTCGATCAAATAAACTAAGAAAGATATGACGTCCGTTTGGGTCTGCGAAACCATTTTATTTGCCGACAAGTTCCCCTATTTAATACAAATAATTAAATAGGGTTTATTTTAAGCTGGGTTCGGAAAA